TTCTGATATTCTCTGCTTTCAGCCAAGATCCATCGGACATCAGCAATGATATTCCTCATTCAAGCTGAATTCAGCTTGACCCTCTGGAAGTTCTCTGTCAATGTATGCTTGCAGCTGTTTCTGTATTACCTTTAGTAAAACTCTACTTGCATTAGATATCCGATATTGTCTGTGATTTCCACATTCCACTGGGTCACCTCTCTTTGGAATGGGCACAAATACGGATCTGTTCCAATCAGTCGGCCAGATAGTTGTCTTCCAAATTTCTTGGCAGAGATGAGTGAGTGCCTCCTGTGCTGCCTCACTTTCTTGAAACAATTCAATTTTTATTCCATCACTTCCTGGTGCCTGTTCTTTTCCAATTCCTTCAACATACCTTGGACTTTCTTCAGTATCATTGGCTCTTGATCATATACTACCTCTTGAAATAGTGGAACATCAACCATTTCCTTTTGGTACAGTGACTCTGTGTATTCCTTCCATTTTCTTTTGATGCTTTCTGCATCATTCAACAATTTGCGCAAATAATCCTTCAATAACGAAATTCAAGGCTTAAATTTTTTCCTCAGTTCCCCCAGCTTGAGAAATGCTGAGCACGTTCTTCCTTTTGGTTTTCTGACTCCAGAAACATAAAAACAACAAAATTTCTCCAACACATTATTTAAGTAAATTTGTGAATTAAAATCCTTATGATATTTACCTCTCAAAATACTCATCACTGTTATTCATACCTTTAAAAAAATAGAAACATTATTAATATAAATTGCAGGGCAGATTTTTTTCAATTATTAACCTGATTCAGAAATTATATAAGTAGAAATGGAAACAGTTTTAGTTTTTTGGTTCTGCCTGTCACCCACCTGCCTTACTACTCTTGATATTTACACTGGAAGTACCCACAGCCCCTACAACTCAGTCTTCATTCTTGACTTCCTGTTGGTGCATGGAACCATTAGCTACTCACTTCTTGCTAATCTCTTCTCACCTGTTTTGCTCACTAAGAAAGGTTACCCTGCTATTTAATAGGTGACATTTGACAAGATTGCTCCTTGGCCTTTTTCCCTTCTGATGGCAAAGTGGGTTTGAAGTCACCTGCTGCTCCACCAAAAAAAGATGAGGCAATTTGCTCCTGTAAAGATTCACAGCCTTGGAAACCCTATGGAGCAGTTCTACTGTGCTATAGGGCCATTATGAGTTGAAATCCATTCAACAGCTGTGGGTTTTGTTTATTCTCACAGCAAACCAATGGAAATCTCTTAGTATTAACTATATAACTGAATAAGAGGCTTTTACATGTGTTTTCAAGTCCAACCCTCTCATCCAAGCTCCACTTCCATGCCTAAAACTCTGCTGGATATGGTCAATCACATGACCTTGCATAAACTTAACTGGTACATTTGGACTCAAAGTGCTTTCAAGTTTGACACTAGACTTAGTTGTATGCTCTGACAACACTTAACAGCACTGTTTTCCTCCCTTTTTATCCACTTAGTCTCTGAGCACTGTCGGTGACTTATTCAGAATGTGCCTCTTTTCCACAACACTGCCAAGGCGCTCATTATTTCATGGGTGAGAAGAATTTAATAACTTACTCACTGCTGTGTATTTCCAGTCTGTTGTTGCTGTTGTTTTATGTGGTTGAGTTGATTCTGACCTAAAGGGTTTCCTATAGGAAACATGACCCTGTATGGTTTCCTAGGTGTAATCTTTATGGGAGCAGATGGATAGGTCTTGCTTTCAGTAAAACAGCTAGTGAGTTTGAACTGCTGACCTTTTGGTTAGCATCCAAGTGCTTAACAGTTGTGCCACCAGGGTTTCCTACTTCCAGACTAGTCTTCCTAAAAGTCTTATTTTATTTCTCTACTCAAAATGCTGTGATTTCCAAAAATAAAACTATCTAACCTCTCACAAACCATGTACAGGGTTGCTATGGGTCGGAACCGACTCGACGGCATTTAACAACAACAACAACAACCTCTCACACGCAATAAGAACTTTCTACAACTTGGTCCATAAATCCTATTAACCTCTTGCTAATTCTCCAGCTTGGGAGGGAAGAGAAAGATACCAGTGACCAAGAACCTAAAATAATTACGTAGATTCAAATCTAGACACATATATGTATACAACAGCTCTGTGAAATGGAAGTTGCTATTCCCATATATTGATAACTAAAATACAAATGGAATCTAGGAAAAACTTGTTGTTAAGTGCCATCAAGTCAGTTCCAACTTATAGTGACCCTGCACAGGGTTTCTGAGGAGCAGCTGGTGGGTTTGAACCACTTACCTTGCAGTTCAAACTGCCCTTGTGGTTGAGTGCTTATGCTAAACTCCACACCAGGCCTTCAGGAAGAACTTAGAGGTAAAAAAAAATTACAAGATTTAAACTCAGCTTCTTAGTAGCTTTTCTTTTCTTTCTTTTTTTTTTTTAATGTTTAGTAGCTTTTCTTTTATGTATTCTTTTATGACATTGTAGCTTAAATAGCTGCAATGTCAATTAAGGGGGAGTGTGGTGGCTCTGTATGATAAGCACTGAACTGGGAACCACAAGATTGGTGGTTCAAGCCCACCAGCTGCTCCATAAGAAAAAAGATGAGGCTTTCTGCTCCCACAAAGATTTACAGTCATGGAGTCCCTGTACAGGGTCACCATGAGTCAGAACTCACTACATAGCACTTAATAACAACAAATGCCAATTAAAATAGCTTTTTAAATTTTTTAACTGTTTATAATATTTTAAGAATCCTGGTGTGGTGCTGTAGGATAAGCACTCGACCGCATGTTGGTTTGAGCTACAGTGGTTCAAACCCAAAAGCTGCTGCTCAGAAACCCTATACAGGGTGGCTATGAGTCAGAATCGACTAGAGAGCACTTAACAACAATACTACTACTTCAGGAATAATAACAAAACATAATTTAAACACTGAATAACATTAACATTATTGATCATCACTATTTGAGGGCAAAAAAACAAACCAAACCAGTAAGTTATTATTTGTGGTTCAATGTTTTAACTATTATACCCTATAATTCACATGATTAAAGGATATTTTCAACTGCCAGCTTCAAATAAAATAGAACTAAAAATGGCACTAAATCTTTGTAAGCTTTAGTATCCTCACCTATGATACAATAATGTAGCCAGGCCTAAGCACGGGGGGATGGATGTAAAAAACACAAAGCCTGGCAGAAAGTGAATGCTCAGTAAATGATGTTCTTTTGTTTTCAAATTAAACAAAAATGTGTTGAATTTCCATAATTAGTAGAGTTTGAATTTCTGTTTTAATAAAAATCAAATCTTAGTATTTCCAGTTATTTTGCTGACATGTCATATATCACAGAGATATGGAACATGGTTGCAGTGCATGTTATGAAGATTTCAAGATGACAAAGATTTGCTAAATCCTTCCCCCTGAAATTAATAAATCTTACAAAGTTTCATATGTTCTGCATAACTATATTAGCAAACATATTCTTCAGTGATGACATATGTCAAAGAGTATAAAAGGAAATCGGGCAGATCCATACCAGTGGAAGTAGGATTCCGGTCAGTGGACAGGTTGACAGCTGAGGCAGATGGAAACACGCTGGCTTTCTGACTAAAGTAATTTTCTGTTGCAGAAAATTCAGCTTCTGAAATCTCCTCTTTGCCACTTTCATCTTCCTCATTCATATGAGTCAGGAAGTTCACTAATCCAGAAAAGTAACAAAATTAAAAGAAAATAGGAGGGAAAAAATTCACATAGAAAATATCTATCAGAGTTTAGTTTAAGAGTGTGTGGGGGAGAGAACAAACAAGATGGCGGATCG